TAGTATTCGTATGTTTAGGTGTCTGCTTAGTCTGAGTGATATGCTTCGCCTTCCTCCCCCTCCTTCCCCTCCTCCTCCTCCTCCCTTCTCCTCCTCCTCCTTCCTCCTTTCCCCCTCCTCCTCCCCCTCCGTCTCCCCTCCTCCTCCTCCCTCCGCCTCCTCCTCCTCACTCCTCTCCTCCTCAAAAGCTCCCTCCTCCTCCTCCTCCTCCTCCCCCCTCCCACTTCCCCTCCCCCCCCTCCCCCTCCCCCTCCTCTCCTCCTCCTCCTCCTCCTCCTCCTCCTCTCCTTCTCTTCTTCCTCCTCCTCATCCTCCTCCGTCCCTCCTCCGCCTCCGGCTTCCCCCTCCTCCTCCTCCTCCTCCTCCTCCTCTCCTCCTCCTCTCCTCCTCCTCCTCCTCCTCCTCCTCCTCCTCCTCCTCCTCCTCCCCCCCATCTTCATCCTCCTCCTCCTCTCCTCCTCACTCCTCCGCCTCCGCCTCCTTTCCTCCGCCTCACTCCTCCTTCTCCTCTCCTCCGCCTCCGCCTCGAGCCTCCGCCCCCTCCTCCGCCTCAATCCTCCTCCTCGCCCTCCTCCCTCCTCCGCCACTCACCCTCGCCTCATGCCTCTTCGCCTCCTCCTCCTCCTCCTCCTCCGCCTCGTCCTCCTGCTCCTCCTCGTCCTCATCCTCCTCCTCCGTGCCTGCTTATTCTTCTTCGTGCTTATTCGTCGTAGTATTGTTCGTCGTCTTCTGCTTCGTCTTCGCCGTATTATTCTTAGTAGTTTCAGTCGCCTGTTTCTGTGTCTTATTCTTCGTATGGTTCTTCTTATTATTCCTCCTCCTCCTCCTCCTCCTCCACCCCCTCCTCCTCCTCGTCCTCCTCATCCTCCTCATCCCCCGCCTCCGCCTCCGCCTCCGCCTCCTCCGTCTCCGCCTCATCCTCCCTCGCCTCCTCCGCCTCCCCCTCCTCACCCCCGTCTCCTTCTCCTCCTCCGCCTCCTCCTCCTCCTCGTCCTCCTCATCCTCTTCTGTTTCGCCATCTTCTTCTTCGTAGTATTGTGAGTATTATTATTCAGCGTCGCCGTCTTCTTCTTCCTCTTCGTCTTCCTCGTCTTCTTCCTCTTCTTCTTCGTCTCCGCCTTCTTCTTATTGGTATTCTTGAATGCTTATCATTATTCTTATTCGTCGTAGTATGATTCGTATTCTTCTCAGTAGCCTTAGTAGTGGAAGTATTATGTGACTGCTGCTTCTGCGTGTTCTGATGCGTCCTCCTCCTCCTCCGCCTTCTACCCTCCTCCTCCTCCTCCTCCTCCCTCCTCCTCCTCATCTCCTCCTCCTCCTCCCCCCCCCCCCCTCCCCTGCCCTCCCCTCCCCCCCCCCCCTCCTCCTCCTCCTCCTCCTCCTCCTCCTCCCTCCTCCTCCTCCTCCCCTCCTCCTCCTCCTCCTCCTCTCCTCCTCCTCCTCCTCCTCCTCCTCCTCCTCCTCCTCCTCCTCCTCCTCCTCCGCCTCCTCCTCCTCCTTCCTCCTCCTCCCCTCCTCCTCCTCCTCCTCCTCCTCCTCCTCCTCCTCCTCCTCCTCCTCCTCCTCCCCTCCTCCTTCTCCTCCTCCTCCTCCCCTCCTCCTCCTTCCCCTCCACTCCTCCTTCCCCTCCTCCTCCTCCTCCTCCTCCTCCTCCTCCTCCTCCTCTCCTCCTCCTCCTCCTCCTCCTCCCCCTCCTCCCCCTCCTCCCCCCCTCCTCCTCCTCCTCCTCCTCCTCCTCTCCTCCTCCTCCCTCCTCCTCCTCCTCCTCCTCCTCCTCCTCCTCCTCCTCCTCCTCCCTCACCCCCCTCCCCCCGCCTCCCCCTCCTCTCTCCTCCTCCCCCGCCTCCGCCTCAGCCTCTGATCCCGCCGCATTCGCCTCCTCCTTCTCATATTCCATTCCGCCTCCTCCTCTCCTCCCCCATCCCCCCTCATCCTCCTCCTCATCCTCCTCCCGCCCCTCCGTCTTCTCGCGTCCTCCTCCTCCTCCTCTTCGTCTTCTTCTTTTTCGTCGTCTTCGTAGTATTCCTCTTATGTGTATTATCATTCGTCTGTTTCCCCTTCGTCTGCTTAGTATGCTTCGTCTGCTTATTCTTATTATCATTCGTGTTCCTCCTCCTCCCCCTCCTCCTCCTCCTCCTCCTCCTCCGTTTCCGCCTCCGCCTCGACCTCCTCCTCCTCCTCATCCGCCTCATCCTCCTCCTCCTCACCCTCCTCCCCCCCTTCTCCTCCTCTTCCTCCTCCTCGTCCTCTCCTCCTCGTCCTCCTCCTCTTCGCCTTCGTCTTCGTCTTCTTCTTTTGATGCTTCTTATTATTAGTATTCGTAGTATGCGTCGTCGTATTCTTCTTCTTAGTATCATTAGTATGGTTATGCTTACGTAGCACCCCGCAATTGCGGATAAGAGTGAGGGGGCGGGCGCGGGCGACGCGGGCGTCGTCGAGCCGGCGGACCTCGTGGCCCCCACCTTCCTTGTCGATGGCGCTCTCCTCCACCTCCTCCTCC